TGATTAAAGGGTCAATACGCTAGGAGGACATAACTATAATAAATATTTATGCACCCAACAACAGGGCTCCAAAATACATAAAACAAACTCTAATGGCATTGAAAATAGACACAGACAGCTCCACAATAATAGTAGGAGACTTCAACACACCACTTTTGGTGAAGGACAGAACGTCCAGAAAGAAGCTCAGTAAAGACTTGGAAGATCTAAATGCCACAATCAACCAACTTGATCTCATAGACATATACCGAACACTCCACCCAACAGCAGCCAAGTATACTTTCTTTCCCAACACACATGGAACTTTCTCCAGAATAGAACACATATTAGGCCATACGGCAAAAGCCTCAACAGAATCCAAAGTACTGAAATATTACAAAGCATCTTTCTGACTATAAAGCCAGAAAAGTACAATAATGGAAAAAGCAAGGAAAACAAACAAACAAACATGTGGAAACTGAACAACACCTTGCTCAAAAATACTGGGTTACAGAAGAAATTAAGGACAGAATAAATAAATTCACAGAATCAAATGAGAATGAAAACATATCCTACCAGAACCTTTGGGACACAGCAAAAGCACTGCTCAGAGGTCAATTTATAGCAATAAATGCACACATCCAAAAAGAAGAAAGGGCCAAAATCAAAACATTAACTCTACAACTCGAACAAATAGAAAGAGAGCAGCAAAAGACGACCTCAGGCATCGGAAGAAAGCAAATAATAAAAATTAAAGCAGAATTAAATGAAATAGAGAATAGAAAAACAACTGAAAGAGCTGACAACACCAAAAACTAGTTCTTTGAAAAGATCGACAAAATCGATCAACCATTGGCCACACTGATAAAAGAAAAGCAGGAAAGGAAGCCAATAACCAGAATAAGAAATGAGATGGGTAATATCACAACAGACCCAACAGAAATTAAAAGAATCATAAGACAATACTATGAAAAATTGTACTCTAACAAACTTGAAAACCTCAAGGAAATGATTAAAGGGTCAATGAGGAAACGAACAAATTTCTAGAAACATGCTACCTACCTAAATTAACACAAACAGAGGTAGAACACATAAATAAACCTGTAACAAAAGAAGAGTTTGAAAAGGTAATTAAAAAACTCCTAACAAAAAAACACCCTGGCCCAGATGGTTTCACTGGAGAATTCTACCAAACTTTCAGAGAAGAGTTAACACCACTACTACTAACATTTTCAGAGCATAGAAAAGGATGGAATACTCCCAAAGTCATTCTATGAAGCCAGCATACCCCTGATACCAAAACCAGGTAAAGACACCACAAAAAAGAAAATTACAGACCAATATCCCTCATGAACATTGACACAAAAATCCTCAACAAAATTCTACCCAATAGAATTCAATAACATATCAAAAAAAATAATTCACCATTAACAAGAGGGATTCATAGCAGGTATGCAAGGATGGTTCAACATTAGAAAAACAATCAATGTAATCCATCACATAAATAAAATAAAAGACAAGAACCACATGTTCTTATCAATTGATGCAGAAAAGGCATTTGACAAAGTCCAACACCCATTCATGATAAAAACTCTCAGCAAAATAGAAATGGAAGGAATATTCCTTAGCATAATAAAGGGCATTTATACAATGCCAACCGACACATCATCCTGAATGGAGACAGTCTGAAAGCATTCCCCCTGAGAATGGGAACCAGACTAGGATGCCCTTTATCACCACTCTTATTCAGCATTGTGCTGGAAGTCCTAGCCAGAGCAATTAGGCTAGAAATAGAAATAAAGAGCATACAGATTGGTAAGGAAGTAGTAAAAGTATCTCTATTTGCAGATGATATGATCTTATACACAGAAAACTCCAAAGAATCTGTAAGAAAACTACTGGAACTAATAGAAGATTTCAGCAAAGTATCAGGATACAAGATAAACATACAAAAATCAGTTGGATTCCTCTACACCAGCAAAGAGAACTTTGAAGAGGAAGTCACCAAATCAATACCATTTACAATAACCCCCAAAAATTAAACACTTAGGAATAAATCTAACCAGAGATGTAAAAGACCTATACAAAGAAAAGTACAAGATGCTACTGCACAAAACCAAAAGCAACCTACATAAGTGGAAAAATATACCTTGCTCATGGATAGGAAGATCAACATTGTGAAAATGACTCTTCTACCCAAAGTGATCTACAGATACAATGCAATCCCGATCCAAATCCCAATGGCATTTTTTAATGAGATGGAGAAACAAGTCACCAACTTCATATGGAAAGGGAAGAGGCCTCGGATAAGTAAAGCATTGCTCAAGAAGAACAAAGTGGGAGGCTTCACACTACCTGATTTCAGAACCTATTAAACCACCACAGTAGTCAAAACAGCCTGGTACTGGTACAACAACAGACACATAGACCAGTGGAACAGAATTGAGAATCCAGACATAAATTCATCCACCTATGAGTAGCTGATATTTTACAAAGGCCCAAAGTCCATTAATTGGGGAAAAGACAGTCTCATTAACAAATGGTGGTGGCATAACTGGATATCCATTTACAAAAAACTGAAACAAGACCCATACCTCACACCATGCACAAAAACTAACTCAAAATCGATCAAAGACCTAAATATAAAATCTAAAACGATAAAGATCACGGAAGAAAAAATAAGGACAACACTAGGAGCCTTAATACATGGCATAAACAGAATACAAAACTTTACTAACAATGCACAAACACCAGAAGAGAAACTAGATAACTGGGAGCTCCTAAAAAATCAAACACTTATGCTCATCAAAAGACTTCACCAAAAGACTAAAAAGACAACCTACAGAAATTTTTGACTATGACAAATCTGATTAGCATCTAATCTCTAAAATCTACAAGATACTGCAAAACCTCAGCAACAAAAAAAGACAAATAACCCAATTAAAAAATGGGCAAAGGATATGAACAAGCACTTCACCAAAGAAGACATTCAGGAGGCTAATAGATACATGAGGAAATGCTCAAGATCATTAGCCATTAGAGAAATGCAAATCAAAACTACAATGAGATAGCATCTCACCCAAACAAGGCTAGCATTAATCCAAAAAACACAATAATAAATGTTAGAGAGGTTGTGGAGAGACTGGAACACTTATACACTGCTGGTGGGAATGTAAAATGGTACATTTGGCACTTCCTTAAAAAGCTACTAATAGAAGTACCATAAGATCCAGCTATCCTGCTCCTTGGAATATATCCTAGAGAAATAAGAGCCGTCAGACAAATAGATTTATGTACATCCATGTTCACTGCAGCACTGTTCACGATAGCAAAAAGATGGAAACAACCTAGGTGCCCATCAACAGATGAATGGATAAACAAGTTATGGTTTATTCACACAATGAAATACTACAGAGCAATAAAGAACAACGATGAATCCGCAAAACATCTCATAACATGGATGAATCTGGAAGACGTTATGCTGAGTGAAATTAGTCAGTCGAAAAAGGACAAATATTGTACGGAACCACCATTGTAAAAACCCAAGAAAAGGTTTAAACACAGAAGAAAACATTCTTTAATGGTCACGAGGGTTGGGAGGGAGGGAGAGGGGTATTCACTAACTAGATAGTAGATAAGAATTATCTTAGGTGAAGAGAAGGACAACACACAATACAGTGGAAGTCAGCACAACTGGACTAAACCAAAAGCTAAGAAGTTTCCTGAATACAACCAAACACTTTGAGGAACAGAGTAGCAGGGGTGGGGGTCTGGGGACTATGGTTTCAGGGAACATCTAGGTCAACTGGCATAACAAAGTTTATTAAGAAAATGGTCTGCATCCCATTTTGGTGAGTGGCGTCTGGGGTCTTAAAAGCTAGCAAGCGGCCATCTAACATGCATCAGTTGGTCCCAACCCACCTGGAGCAAAGGAGAATGAGGAACACCAAAGACACAAGGAAAATATTAGCCCAAGAGACAGAAAGGGCCACATAAACCAAAGACTCCATCAGCCTGAGACCAGAAGAACTAGATGGTCCCCGGCTACCACCAATGACCGCCCTGACAGGGAATACAAGAGTCCCTGATACAGCAGAAGAGAAGTAGGGTGCAGAACTCAAATTCTAGCAAAAAGACCAGACTTAATGGTCTGACTGAGACTGGAGGGACCCCAGGAGACACGGCCCCTGGACTCTCTGTTAGCCCAGAACTGAAACCATTCCAGAGGCCAACTCTTCAGACATAGATTAGACTGGACTATAAGACATAAAATGATACTCGTGAAGAGAGTGCTTCTTAGCTTAAGTTGATACATGAGACTAAATGGGCAGCTCCTGTCCAGGGGCGAGATGAGAAGACAAAAAGGGACAGGAGCTGGTTGAATGGACATGGGAAATCCAGACGGAAAGGAGGAGTGTGCTGTCACATTATAGGGAGAATAACTAAGGTCACATAACAATGTGTGTATAAATGTTTGTAAGAGAAACTAACTTGAATTGTAAACTTTCACTTAAAGCACAATAAAAAATTATTCCACACTGTTATTGCTGCTGTTAATTAACACTAAGTCAAATCTGACTCCTTAGGATTTTCTGGGCTATAATCTTAACAAAAGCAGATCACCAGGCCTATCTTCCTCAGTACCACTGGGTGAGTCTGAACCACCAACCTTGAGGTTAGCACTAGTATAGCAATAATATATAATTTTTTGGGGGTCATAGCAATAACTTCAGTTATTATTTGTTGTTTTTAACAAAAATAATGAACAGTAATAAAAAGAATATTTTTGATAAACATACAAGAGCAAAGAACTGATTGGACCTACACATTTCTCTTTGAGGGCAATGAGGGGAGTTATCAACTGTACAAAGAGCCCCTCCTGGTACCAGTCTCTCCAACTACACTAAAACCAGTAAAAACAAAAGAACTAGGTAACAGTGAACTCACCATATAGAGTTTAGCCATTTTCCTGTTAGCTATATCTGCTATGGTGTCATCATCATCATTTCCATCTGGAAGCTCTGGCTTTTTCCCTAAAACCTGGAAAAAAGTGAACAATAAATGAAAGATAAAGACCTCCTAGTAAAGGATGCATAGAGTTTAAAAAATAGTAATAAAACATCTTACATTTGTAAAGACATAATTATAAAATATTTGCAATTAAAGTTACCAGGTTCAAACATTTTCTCATCAATTTATAAAACAAAGGCCTTTTTCCATGGTTCAAATCAATCAGTGGCATTAATTAAACAAACACTGAGTTTGCTGGTGTATGAATTTCCAAGAGGGCAAAATCCCAAATTCAAAATTTCAAAAATCTCCAAATTTTTGAAAATTACCCACCCACTGCCGTCGAGTGGATTCCGACTCATAGCGACCATATAGGACAGAGCAGAACTAGCGGGACTTAATTAAAATATGAATTCTAAGTTCAGTTCTGTAAGAGAATTCCCTCTGTGATCTTGTTTCTAAAAATAATCTATAGGTTTTATTAATTTTTTATCACGAAGACTTGCATAAGACTTCTGGGCAACACAACACTATAGGCAGAAGGACCACGCCAACCCTCCACAGCAAAGATCTGAAAAACTAAGCCAAACAGAGAAAAAGGCAATCCTGAAACCCTAAGCATCAAATGAAGAGATAAAAAACTCAGCCAAGCACTGAATAGAATAAGAAACTGACAGAGAACAGAGAGCAAGGATAGATACATGCCGAGGTCCCCTATCAGCTAATGCAGCACGGATCCGCCATCTTGGACTCCTATCAGAGATTAGCAAACAGGGGGTACGAGAAAGTAGCTTCACGGAGCTTCCAGAAGGAGATAGAACAACCAATAACCAGCAATATACGCTTTCCCATCCCCTACCCTTCTTCACCCCCACTTGGCCTCCTCTGCTTCCTGCAGCCACAGTCTCTTGGCCGGGAAGCACCAGCTTCAGCTCGGTGTCACTTGGATTCCACTCACCTACACTGGCCGGCTCCCTAAGTGCCATTTGTTGGCTGCTGGTGTTGCTTTTTTCTGCTTCTTTAGATTTCTTTCCTACATCTCACCACCTCCCCCTCCTTTCCCTCAAATAAGTAAATCAAAAAAGTAAAGTAAACCCTTATTATAGGTGTATTTACATGCTGCAAAACATTTTGTTTTCAACAGGACAAATATTGGATAAGAGGGAATATACACAAAGATATAAAACCACAGGCAATTCTGAGGAAAGCAGCGACCTCACTTAGCCAGTTCAATCTAATCTGTATATGAAATCCCAACATTTACTCTTCTCCTCTCTCTCAGCGATATGCTTTCCTGCCTCTAAAGAACCTTTGCCCCTCTCCTGATACATCAGATAAAAGAGTAACTTAATATATCAAATAGAGGGTAAAGGTATCTTAGAGGTGAGAAAGCACATTATATACATATACGGATGAAAAGATCAAGTGAGTTGCATGTCCACAAGAGAAGTTTGGCTACTTAATTATCTAGCACAGTGCTGTCCAACAGAATTTTCTGTGAAGATGGAAATATCCGTGTTGTCCAATAAGGTAACCACATATGGCTATTAAGCACCTGAAATGTGGCTGGTACAACTAACTGAGCTCCATGACCGTGTTTCCACATTTAAAATGGTATAATAATTACCACCACTCACAATTATTATGATGATTAATTGAAATAATGTATGTGGCTATCACTGTATTCAGCACACAATGCAAGGAATTCAACAAAAGTTAGATCCTGCATCCTTTCTTCACCCTTAAATATGCAAAGTCAAGTCTTGCCCTGGTCAAAGAGCCATTCAGCTTCTTTGATGTGGCTTTGCATATCACTGCTCTGGTTCTTTGCGTGATGACTTTAGGATTGAACTTCTTGCCGCAAACATCCCCCATGGGCTTTCACTTTGTTGCTATTTGTTCAGGTCTTGATCTGATTATTTCATCATGAAGTCTATATGTCTTGATAGTGCACCCTTGTCAAAGTCTTACATTTTGGCTTTAAAACTACAAATCGAAGACAGGTCTGTACATCCCCCTTCAAACAAAACCTAGAATAGTCCTCTCGGCAATCAGCATTATTGGAATAGTCAATAATGCTGAGAAGGAAGAATAAAATCTAGTAATTACTTCCCTTCTTTGAATTCTTTCTACAATTACTGTGTGTAGGAGTCCGGTAGTGCAACAGTTAAGCAGTAGGCTGCTAACAGAAAGGTTGGTGGTTCAAACCCACCGAGTGGCTCCGCAGGAGAAAGATCTGGCAACCTTCTGTAAAGACTACAGCCAAGAAAACCTATGGGGCAGTTCTACTCTGTCACATGGGGTCATTATTAGTCAGAACCGACATGATGTCATTTGTCCTTGGTTATAAAAATAATTCTCTGATCTTCCCATGCATTTCAATCCTGTCTCCCCATGTAGTCTCATATACATGATCTTATTTTGGTGAGGCATAATATGTCCTTTATGCAAGGTTTATTTATGGATTGTCTATGATAAGTCAGCATCCAGGCAAGGGGCTGAAGCTACAATGGTTAGCCCGTTAAATGTAGTTTCTGCACCTCAGCAAGCTGACTTTTAGTGCAGGGATGCTAAGTACGTTTCACTTGGTTTCACCAAATCTCATTGTAGGCAGTGGCTGCTGGAGCAGTCTGTGGAGAAAGACTATGAGAGGTCGCTTCCAAATTTAGTGAGAATGTTTAACATAATCTATCATTTAAGACACTCGCGGCAAGTGGAAACGTAAGGACACATTTCATTTATTTTTAACTCCAAATATATGAAAATAGCCTATAAAAATTCTCAAGTTCAGAGATGTTTAGAATGTTATCAGTCCACAGAGTGCCTTGCGGACATGCTGGTTCACTCTCTTCCTCTCAAGGCTATTTCTCCATTATAATTCATCTGGCCTCTTTCCCTCAGTAAGTAATTTCCTAGTAGAACTGCCCCATAGGGTTTCCAAGGCTGTAATCTTTACGGAAGTAAACTGCAACATCTTTCTCCCATGGAGCCGCTGGGTGGGTTCAAACTGCCAACATTTCAGTTATCAGCTCAGTGGTTAACCACTGCGCCATCAGGGCAGTTCCTTTACATATAACCTTTAGATTAGACCAAATTTTGCTTTAATGGTAAGTGACTTTCGAAAACTTTATCTTTATCTATATAATTTAGAAAATTTCCAACACCAAAATTTTATTAAGCAAATTTAAAATGCCTTTCATTAATATTCATGAAGTCAGCATTAATATTTAATTTCTCGGTTATGCATGGCATAGGACTTCATTTACAGCACTTTTCTACTTCTTTTTCTTGAACACAGATACTAAAATACTTCTTTTTAACAGTATAATAGTTTATTTTCTTCACGATTAATAAGGTATTATAGAATATCGAAAACTGAGGATTTCCTATTCATTTTCAGTGAGTACTTACGTGAACAAACTATACTTAGTTTATAAAAAATCATTCTAAAATCCTTTTTATAAATATGTATTACGTATATATTTTTCACAACAATGTAACTGTAAAATTGCAATGCACCAATACCCTTCCAATCGTAATCATTGTTGTTGTTGTTGTTAGGTGTCGTCCAGTTGATTCCAACCCATAACAACCTTATGTATAACAGAATGAAACACTGCCCGGTCCTGCACCATCCTCACAATCATTGCTACGTTTGAGCTCATTGTTGCAGCCACTATGTCAATCCACCTCGCTGAGGGTCTTCCTCTTTTTCACTGACCCTCTATACCAAGCATCATGTCCTTCTCCAGGACTGGTCCCTCCTGATAACTTGTCCAAAGTATGTGAGACAAAGTCTCGCCATTCTCACTTCTAAGGAGCATTCTGGCTGTATTTCTTCCAAGACAGATTTGTTCATTCTTCTGGCAGTCCATGTGTCATGGATTGAATTGTGTCCCCCAAAAAATGTGTGTAGCAACTAGGCTAGGTCATGATTCCTAGTATTGTATGATTGTGTTATCTGATGTGATTTCCTTATGTGTTGTAAACTCTACCACTATGATGAGATTATATGTGATCTCATGTGTTGTAAATTCTATCACTGTGATGAGGTTATACTGATGAGGTTGACAAGATTAGTGTCTTAGTGCAATCTCTTTTGAGATATAAAAGAGAGAAGTGAGCAGAGACATATGGGAACCTCATACCACCAAGAAAGCAGTGCTGGGAGCAGAGCAAGTCCTTTGGACCTGAGGTTCCTGCGCAGAGAAGCTCCCAGACCAAAGGAAAACTGATGACATGGACCTTCCTGCAGAGCCAACAGAGGAAGTGTTCCCCTGGAGCTGACACCCTGAATTTGGACTTGTAGCCTACTGGACTGAAGAAATAAATTTCTCTTTGTTAAAGCCATCCACTTGTGGTATTTCTGTTGGAGCAGCACTAGATGACTGAGACACCATGGTATATTCAATATCCTTAGCCAACAATATAATTCAAATGCATCAATTCTTCTTCAGTCTTCCTTATCCATTGTCCAACTTTCCCATGCACATGAAGTGATTGAAAATACTATGGCTTGGGTCAGGCGCACCTTAGTCCTTAAGGTGACATCTTTGCTTTCTAACACTTTAAAGAAGTCTTTTGCAGCAGATTTGCCCAATGCAATATGTCATTTGTTTTCTTGACTACTTTTTCCACGGGCATTGATTGTGGATCCAAGTAAAATGAAATCCTTGACAACTTAAATCTTTTCTCTGTTTATCATGATGTTGCTTATTGGTTCAGTCGTGAGGATTTTTGTTTTCTTTACTTTGAGGAGCAATCCATACTGAAGGCTGTGGTCTTTAACCTTCATCAGTAAGTGCTTCAAGTCCTCTTCACTCTCTGCAAGCAAAGTTGTGTCATCTGCATATCACAGGTTGTTAATGAGTCTTCCTCCAATCCTGATGCCACATTCTTCTTCATATAGTCCAGCTTCTCGGACTATTTGCTTAGCATATAGATTGAATTATGGTGAAAGGATACAACCCTGACGCACACCTTACCTGATTTTAAACCATGCAGTATCCCCTTGTTCTGTAGCAATTCTA